GCAACTCACACCAACCTTTTGATCAGGGACTCGGTGAGTACTCTTCCCGACCAGAGTGGGTAAACAACACAAGGGTGCAGTGCTTGATAAATGGGATATTGTTTGGTATAAGGTTGTGCATGCACTTAAGAGGGGATTGTTGATAAAATAGTTAAGTTCATATGTGTTTGATAGTGACAACTGAAGTATATGAAGTTGTGGATCAGAACACTCTCTTTGGATAAAAATATGGGAGCTCAGCTGTTTAAAACTCCTTGTTCTCCTCTTAGGTGTATTATATTGTTGAAAATTTAGAGGAGATACGTTAACAAGGGAACGGCTAATTGAATACTGTACTATATATTGGCCACTGTGTAAGTTGGAGGATGGGAAAAAATGGCCTGAGAAGGGGTCACTGAAATACAGTATTATTTTGCAATTAATGGTGTTTTGTCGGCAACAAGATAAATAGGATAAGGTACCTTGGGTTGATTTATTCCTTATATTGAGAAATTATCATGAAACTTGAAGAAAGATTCTGATTCAAATGTGATGATGATGATAGAAGATAGAGATACAGAGTCCTGTTGTTCTGCATGTAGTATTGGGAAAAGGTGTGTAAGATTGAGTGATGAGGAGGAGGATGTGCAAATGCTGGTAGCTCTGGATGGTGGAGAAAATAATGCTGCAGGAGGTGATAGCTTTAGCCCTGTAGCAGGGAGAACTCGAGCACAGTAAAACCCTACACTATTAGCTCCTCTTCCATAAGCTGTGGGTACAGGGCGAAATCTGGTATTTGTCAAGGTACCATTTACTACTTCTCATTTAATGAACTGGAGAGAGTCAGCTGGATCATATGGAGAAAACCCAGAGAAAGTGTATTGTTCTTTTAGAATGATTATTGAAAATCACAATCCAGACTGGCAGGATATGCAAGTTTTATTAAATAGCCTGCTCACCTCAGAAGAAAAGAGAATGTTATAAGAGAAAGCTGAGGCAGAGAATGGGAAAATAAATCCAAGGGATGGACCAGGACATTTCATGCCCACACAGAAACCTGATTGGGACCCAGATAAAGCTGGGGAATTAAACTTGATTTTTTTTATAGTCATAAATACTTGTAAAGGGCCTCTAAGCAAATTTAGCATGTCTGTTGTTGGGGCCACAGGAAAGACAGTGGTCAGAGCATTTTTGAAACCCATGGAATTGGAAGAAAAACAGTAATGCATGGATTTTTATATGTGCCAGAGTGCCCAATACCTCTCTTAGGATGGGATTTATTAAGTAATTCAGGAGCACAAATCAGTTTTGAGAAAGGGAAGATTCAAGTTAATTTTCCCAAACCTAATGCCTGGCAGGCTCAAATATATCTGTTTCAAATGGAGTCAGAGAATAAAGAAGAGGAGTTTGGAAACATTCCAGAGGAAATTAAGAATGCAGTCACTCCAGTTGTGTGGGCATCTGAGAAACATGGAAAAGCGAAGAATGTGGAACAGGTAGAAGTTGAACTAAAGCCAGGAGTTCAGCCAGTGAGAAGGAAATGATATTCTGTCAGTATGGAAGCCAGGAAAGGCTTAGAGCCAATAGTGAATAATTTTCTTAAATATGGACTTTTACAGGAGTGTCAATCTGAATACAGTATTCCTATCCTTCCAGTGAAAAAAAATTGCATAATCAGGAATATAGACCGGTTCAAGATTTAAAAACCACAAATCAACTGGTGGTGGACATCCACCTGGTGATTCCTAATCCATATCCATCGTTAATAATAAAAGAATCAAATGCATACTTTTCTGTCTGATGCTTTCTTTTGCATACCTTTGGAAGAAAACAGTCAAAAAACATTTCTGCCTTTGAATGGGAAGATCCATCAACTGGAAAAAGGACCCAGCTCTGATGGACTGTGTTACCCCAGGGATTTAAGAATAGCCTGACCATCTTTGGAACAATCCTGGTCAAGGAGCTGGAGCAGTGGCCAGGCAAGGATGATATCTTGTTGGGGGTGGATACTTTTGAGATTTGTGAAGAAAAGACTGTTAACCTCCTGAAATTTTGGTGGGGGAACAGCTGGGTACCGAGTATCAGAAAGAAAAGTACAAGTCACAAGACAGACTGTAACCTATCTTGAGTTTGAGATTTCCCAGGGACAGTGAAGACTGGGAAACAACAGAAAATAAGCCATTTGCAAAATGCCCCCCACCGCCACAATCTAAAAGAGAGCTGAGAAGATTTCTAGAAATGGCTGGATGTTGTCATCTGTGGATTCCAAATTTCAGCCTGTTGGCAAAACCCTTGTATGAGGCAACTAGGGGTCCTGAGGAATTACTGCAGTGGAGTCCAGAATGCAGGAAAAGTTTTGACGATATTAAGCGGACTTCAACGAAAGCCCCAGCTTTAGAACTAACCAATCTGACTAAACCCTTTGAGTTGTTTGTGCATGAAAGGGGTCGTGTAGCATTTGGAGTTCTGACTCAGCTCTTAAGCCACAGGTCTTTGCTAGTCTCCTATTTCTTGAAGCAACTGGGTAAAGTGAGTTCAGGATGGCCTGGCTGTCTGCAGGCTGTCACAGTTACTGTTAATTATCCAAGAAGCCAGAAAATTGACTATGGGGCAAAAGATAGCTGTCCATATCCCTCATGCTCTACTTACTGTGTTGGAACAAAAAAGGATATCACTGGCTTATGCCAAGTCGTATGCTGCAATATCAAGCCCTGTTATTGGAACAGGACGACATCACCTTAGAAGTAAGTACAGTATTAAATCCTGCATCTTTAATGCCAACAGAGAAGGAAGATGACTCTAACCATGATTGTTTGCAAATCATTGAATGGGTGTGTGCCAGCAGACCAGACCTGAGAGGCGGTCCCCTCCAAACTCCAGATGAATAATTATATACTGACGGAAGCAGTTTTGTTGTGAAGGCAATAAGAAAGGCTGGCTGTGCTGTGGTGACACTAACTGATGATTGAGAAGTAAAAGCATTGCCTCCAAAGAAGGCTGAAATAATTGCCTTAACCAGGGCTTTGGAATTAGCCAAAGGAAAGAAAGTCAATATCTATACCGATTCCAAATATGCTTTTGGGGTTGTTCATGCCCATGGTGCTATTTGGAAAGAATGAGGACTTTTATCTGTCACTGATACACCAATAAAATGTAGAGCAGAGATTTTAATCTTGTTGGAAGCAGCACAGAAGCCGAAGGAAGTTGCTGTGATACACTAAAGCACATCAAAAAGGAAATTCAGATGTAGTCCAAGGAAATCGAAGGGCAGATGAAGCTGCAAACTGAGTGGCACTCAGTACTATTTATGTTTTAATTCCATCAAGAAAAATGCAAGTAAAATCCCCAAAGTATAAAGAGAAAGAAGACAAATTGGCTGAAGTACTAAAATGTGAAAAGGACAATACAGGGTGGTGGATTACTCCACACAGACAACATGTAGTGACTCCTGAAATAATGAAAAACTAATGATTAAAACCCATGAAGAAACCCACATGGGAGCAGAAGCAACGGCTGAATCAGTAAAAGGGTATGCAATAGGGGTCAAAATGTTACTTACTGCCAAAAGTGTGAGTAACCAATGTGAAATTTGTCTTAGAACAACCCAAAGATACAGGCCCGACCCCTCCAGGATAGGTAAGAAAAGGCATAACTCATGGTGAGTACTGGCAAATAGATTTCTCAGAATTACCAAGGTGAAATCAATACTGATATTTATTGGTATTGGTGGACACCTTCTCTGAATGTCTTGAAACTTTCCTGTGTCAGACCAACAAGGCAAAAGAGATAATAAAGCATTTACTAAAATAAATTATTCCAAGATTTGGAGTATCTTTAGGAATCTGACAGGGGTCCACATTTTATAGCTGAGATTGTCAAAACTATGAGCAAAGTTTTAGGGATAAGGTGGAATTTAGACATTCCCTGGAATCCACAATCCAGTGGACAGGCAGAAAGAATGAATCAAACACTAAAACAATGAATTTCTAAATTGTGCCAGGAAGCCCATTTAAAATGGGTCGAAGCTTTGCCACTTGCCCTATTGAAAATTAGGGTAACTCCTAGAACTAGGGAAAAGATAAGCCCTTGTGAAATGTTGTATGACAAGCCTTATAATGTCACCCTGACAGGGAGGTCTGAACAAATGCGTATAGTAGGGGACAAGGTATTATCTGATTATCTTTATCCCTAAACAAGGCACTGAGTTCCATCCAGAAATGTGTACTTTTAAGAGCACCTGTACCCCTTGATTTCCCGATACACTCTTTCTGTCCTGGAGATCAGGTCTCATTAGGGACATGGAAGGACGATCCCCTTGAAAAAAAGTGAAAAGGACCCGATGGAGTGTTGCTAACTACGAACACTGCTGTGAAACTTGGAGAAGTGGAACCTTGAATCCATTGTACTGGAATAAAGAAGACACCTCCTGGAATCTGGACATCAGCACCTAAAGGACCATTGAAATTAACTTTAAGATGCCATTAAGAAATTTCACCCGGAATGTTACTGAATCATTTATTCATCTAGATTGCATACAAGGAATATTTGTATTTTGTTTCCTTATAAGTGTGAGGGGAATAATCATATTTACCTATTTGTACAAAGAATTAACCTGTGCCAAGATTGTCTAGAATGGAGATCCGGGTCTTGCTGACTTTACTAGTGCTTTCATTATACAGTAGTGAGCCCCAAATCTTGATGCCAAAATGGGATTTTTGTTCGTGTTACTTACAGTAATGTTGATTATTGTAACTAGTTGCTTAATCCAATGTATGTCACATTATTATTCTTTTATAGATTCTTGGATTGCAGTGTGAGTCACGAAGTTTATAACATCGTAAGTCTCAAATGGGGGAATTGATGTAGTATACTTCACACTTGCAAGTGGCCATAGTTAATAATTGATAGAAGTACACTCTGTGCTTGCAGGTGGTTATATTCCTATATATCTTTATCTATATATAAAATGTATATGCAAGCTTTATTGTAGTAGATGTATTCCTTAGCCAATACTTTTTAAAACATCTGTAGTTCCAGTATAAACCTTTTCTGACCTCCTCTCCTTTTCTTCCACTGTTATGTCTATGCTGAAATATTTTCTACTATATTCAATTCTCTTTAAGCTTGCCTCAAATTCAGCTTTCACTGGATACAGGCTTTGATAAATCATTGACTGTGCTTACTATACACTTAACTTGTAGATTCATGCCCTGTTACCTGCCCCAAGTTGTCCTCAAACTGCAATTTGTGTGTTAATATTAACAGAACTTTATTGAGCCAAACTGCATGGCAAAACACTTGCCATGGGGACCAGATATTTTATGGGTACAGGAGAAAATTCTGAAGAGGTGGTAGAAGAAAGAAAGGTTCATCTGGTTTTGTCTATCATAAGAGAAAACAAAGCCAAAGCCATACCAAATCCCTTTGTTGGATAAAAAGAAGACAGATGCAGTGCAGAAATTTAAGAGGATGATTTAAGAAAAGCAAAATTGAAGGTGTTTTTTAAAATTCTTTGCAAACAATGAGAGAGAGGGATCAAGAAGGGAAAGCCAGAAATGGAATTTTACATCAATCTTAGAAAATTTACTATCCTTTCCAGGCCTTTATTTCCAGATCGGAATGCTATCATTGAACCACAAAGAGCTAAGAATAATGTTCCATGGAATCCCTCTTGCAGATGGCACCAGGTCACTTTTATACCATGATCCTCTAATCGTTTCTTGTATAGCAGTCCATCATCTCGTAGCACATCAAATTCACAGGTCAAAATGAAAGCCTCAGGAAGTCGAGCAATAACACTGTCTTCAGCTAACAGTGGTGAAAAAACACTGTCAAGCAGAGGCTTGATCTGTGTATAGATTTCTTCTGAGAATGGATATGTTGTACTTGGTTTGTAGCCTCTGTTTTTAAACTCATGAGCGATATAGTCAGGATTCACCCATTTCTGATACTTCAGTTGCAAGTCTTCTGGAATATGACAGTGTTTAAGTAGTGCTCCCGTGATCGACAAGTCCATATTAAGATACTTCAAACCAAGAGCAAGGGTTCGTTCCTTTAACAAAATGGGGATTCCTTTATTCTGCTGATAAGAAGGCAAATCAAAGTTCACACTCTGAAGAAAAGGATATATTAGGATTTGTGCTCTCAGCTTTGGGAGATCTCTTCTGTTCACCAGTGCTTGGGCAACAGCAGCAGTGAGTGTACCTCCACTGCTATCTCCACAGATGATGATGCGAGAAGGGTCTACTCCATAATCTTGTGCAGTCCTCATAAAGTGTATGGTGGCAGTGACACAGTCCTCGAACTGGGTTGGATATGGATGCTCAGGAGCTAAGCGGTACCTAAATAGGAGTGAAAGTGTTTTACCATAGTCATAGCTAGTGATTGGTCCTGTTGTCGTTTCATTCATATTTTTCTTTCTGAAGGTAGGAAAATGTTCTGAGATTATAATTACAGCAGTAGAATTGATCATAATTACTGCTTTTGATATCTAATTTGCTACTATTGTTAATGTTTGGGGGAGCCAGTCACACTGTTCTATCTCTGCCGAATACTTCTTTGCCTGTCTTTTAGGTGACAGAAGGCACATGCAGAGTTATTGTAGAATTAAGAGAATTAAGTGGCAAGGCAGGTATGTATGAATCGGTTGTCAGCAATTCTAGTTAGAAATTGAAGTGGTCGTTTCCCAGCAAATTGTTACAGAATTGGACCATAGAAAATTGATAATGAAAATATGAAAGATTTTCAGGGGTTTTGGTAAACTGAATTTTTTACAGGCAGAATCAATAAGAGTTAATGCTTCTCCGAGTATTTTAGGATGTAAGTAGTAATTAGTGTAATTTTGATCAATTTATAAGACATCAACTCTTTTCCTGAACTTTTAGAAATTGATTCTTTTAAAAATTCATTACAGGTCATCAGAAAATGGTTTGGAATGTTCACTTCAAGTTGATTGCAAGGTAAATGTGAATATCCCTCTCAGTTTTTCAGAACTACTACTAGGATGAGTATTTAGTAGTCTGGGCAACTGCACTTTTAACAGGAACAGTTACACTTCAGACACAGTGTTGGCTTTCAGCTTAAGGTGGTTTGGATGAAGCTTTAGGAAAGAAAAACATCCTCACCTCTTAGTGGTGGTTACAAATTATAAAATTATTATAATGGATTTTATTTCAAAATAAGCATGTGGGGATTAGTTGAGTAATTCTTCCTAAAAATAATTAGTGCTGGTGAAATGCATGTGATCATTAAATATAAGTACTGTACGCACTTTACAATGAACTTGTGGTGATTATGCATTAAAGACTTACAAAACCAGAAGGAGGCACAACTGGCTATCATATTGTGTGTCTGGATTGATTCCACTTACCCAACAGACACAACCACAGAATTGCTTTTTCTAGCAAAATAGCGGCATGTTCTTTCATAAGCCCCTGTAAAACAAAATATTTCAATGGAATTGTAATTTGCTTTAAAAATTAGTTGAATGAAAATATTCTGAAATTCTTATCTCTCTTCTGTGATTAATGCTACACTGTAATTCTCTTATTGTGGCATGGTCTAAGTGTGGGCACTACTCACAATTTTATTACGTCTGTGGGTATCTTCTTGCCAGTAAGAAACCTGGAATTTACACCAATGCATTGTTTCAGTCTCCTCTTTGAAAAGTTAATAGGAAGTACCACTTCTGCCACTTCTAAAGTGGTGTTGAAGACAGGAAGTTAATTAAATAAATTAAAAAAAAAATTAAAAAAACATCCTAAATCTAGCACAATAATTTTTCTTCTGCATGAGTCACCATCTAATCAATTACACCTTTCCATTTCAAATGCCAAAATGTATTTTTTCCTTATTTTGCAACTATAAAGACACACAGCAGTATACACATATACACAAGTTTGCACAAACATATGAACACAAATTTGGTTGTTTAAAATAAGAAATAAAATTCTAATGAGATTTTCAACTTTTCTCATAAGCATGAAGGAGAAGAAGGAAAAAAATGGGTATTATAGATGATCAGAGAATAAATGTTCTAGATACATGACCTGTATAAGGACAATTTAACATGATGCCTACTGCATGTAAATAAAACTATTCTGCTGTCCTGAAATTAATTTTGTTTTGCTTAACCTACTTGTTAATTCTAATTGTTACTTAATTCTTCTTGTTATTTAAGAAATACCATACCAGATTAGAAACTACACAGTGTTTATAGTTATAGCTCATATTACTTATATTACTTACAAATTTATTATATTACAAATTATTTCTATTACTTACGAATGCTTCCAAACTGTCCAACTCCTCCATGAAAATAAAGGATTCCTCTTCTTTGGCCAGTAGTTGCTATGTTTGGCTGGTAAATTCTTACTTTAACCTTTTCAAACCTTAAGTCCTTGATAAGAAGATATTTATCTTTTAATGGTGGTATTCCATCCATTACAAACCTGAGGAAATGGACCTCTGAGGTGATACCTACTTTTTCCAAAAATTTTGCCTGTTAATAAAGGGAAAGAAACCACGAATTAGTGCAGATTTCCATCTTGTGTGGAGATTGATCATGAAAAATTTAAAATTCCATGGTCAATTCAAACTTTGTCTCCTGATGGTTCTTACAGTGAAGTGGCCAGTTATGATCATGATTTCAATACATCTTCATTGTAATGTAATGCCTACCAAATTTGAAGTTCCAAGAGCAGTAGATTTCACAGGAATGGATGAACTTATCTTCTATAGCTGCCTTCTGGCCATGCTTGCCCAAAAGCAAGGCCTTTGAGCCTGTGGGAAAGCCTGCCTGAGAGCTGCTTTCACAAAAGCACAGTAACTTGGCTCATTCATACCATCTTACATCCCTGGCAAAAGCATTACCAGTATGGTCTAGCAGAATATAGGATTAGCTTTGGAGCCAACTTCCAGATCAGATTAGAAATGTTAGATGAGAGCATGGTGGTTTTCAAATTATTTCATTCTTCAGTGGTGAAATCCTGGCTTAGTTTTTATCAGTAGGGAATTAAAAAAAAAGTCAAACTATTCATAGTAGATAAAAGAAGGTGTCAAATACTTCAACTTGTCAGGTGTTTAAGTAACCCTGTGCCTGAACAAAATGAGAAAGTAGTTACAGCATTTTAAACTTCACCTTCGGATGAAGAAAAGTGGCTAAGTTTTTCAAACTCATGCTACTTTTTCATTTGCAGAAAAAATTTCTGTAGCAGCTACCTCAAGTGGCTTCTTGGACAAGAATAACTTTGAACCTTCGCTTGATCTTCTCACAGCTCAGTGATTCTTAAACACTTAGGCTGAAGATTCTTATGTTACTCTGAGCTAGTCTACTTCTGGATTTAAGCTGTTTCAGATGTAGTCTGCTCTAGTCTATTCCTGCTCAAGATGAAAAAAATGAGGCAGTATCACTCTATTTCCACTATACTGGATTAAATTTTATACTTTTCTTCTTCAACAGTAGACTTCTCTAATGAGTAATTTAATCTGTTGTGTTGCCATTATTCATGTATATGCGTTTAAAAAATGATTACAGACACAAAACTGTATGCTGCAGGTATCTTAAAAACCCACAGTAAGTCATGTGGCTTTCACCTCACATTTTATGGAGCTCGTGCAGCTCAATAATGTGGTCCTGTTAAATTTGATGTAGGTATCCTGCTTTAGGTCATTTGAGGAGCTGATCCCGTACACAAGAAGGATCATCTTGTGGCCAAACTTTAGTCTCACACTGATTCCTTCTACAGAACTCCTGTATGATGTCCATGGGAAAGATTTTGTTTCTTTAATCCCCCAGTTCCGTTCGGTATTTTCTTTCCTCACACTAATACTTTTGTAACAGTAAAAGCTAAACCTGTAATTAGCTATATTGTTTATATAAGCATCATCATTGTCTTGGAAATACTAAAAAAAAATACAAGTACTTCTCAACTGCTGTGTTAAGTGTTGGCAGTCTGATACCACATTTTTGTCAAACCTGCAGTAGTTTTATATGTCAACTTTCACAGAGATTGGCATTTATTTATTTTGCTCTTAGCTGTTTACTGTTAGCTGTGAATATCTTCTCTGGGTTATCTCCAACAATGTACAGTTGTGCCAGACATCCGTAATTAGTATCATCACACATAATCTCCATAGTTATTCCTGTTAATATGCAAATGAAATTTTAATCTTGTATTGTTTCAAATTGTATTGTTTTAAATTGTACAGTTCCTGTGAATAGAAGTTCTACAAGAACCAGCAGAATTTGCATTTTTGCTTTGTTTTCTGATTCAAGTCCATTTTTAAAATATATATGCTCCCTCAAAATGAGGTGTTGGTTTTTGGCAGACAGTTTCTGGAAAAAAGTGATCACTTGCATGACAGCTGCAGGACTGGGCTGTGTGTACATAAAGGTGTATTTAGAGTACAGCTAGACTATGCATCACTGATTTCTTTATTACTTTCAGGATCTTCATGTTCATAAAGCTTGTTCTTTTGAGGGTGATTACTAAAGTCAGTCAAACATGACCTACATTTTGATATTTGTAAATAGGTGCGACTGCTTAGTAGTATAATTTGTAGACCAGTATTTGGATGGTTTGGTTATATATTGATTAAGGATCTTCTAACACTATAGCTGACATGACAGCTTGAAAATTAATAAAGATTTACAGGTAGCATAAGACAGTCAGAGTAAGGGACTAGAGAACTGCTACCTCGTTTGAAGCGTTGTCTAACTCAGCCTGTGCTATCACTCTACATGAAACAGTGTCTGGCATTCACAGTGAAACACTTAAAAACTGACCCACTGGAAACAACTCACATGGAGATTTCCATGCACCAGAAGAAAAGCTGAATTAGATTAGAAGTGGGAGTCCAGATACATGTTGAAGCGAAGGATTAGGGCCTGCAGCAACAGGCATAGAGTAATGTCTGTGGGAGGGATGTGACAGAGCTGTGATATGTGGTGTTAAGGTCCTTTGTCCTCTTTACGCAAGTATAAAAGCCTACTGTGTATACCCCAGAACTCATCTGAATTGCGTTTATACCAGCCCTTCTACCTAAATCATTACTAGAATAAACTGGGTACAAGAAGGTTACAGAACTATTAACACAGTAGGTAGCATAATTTAATCAGACCCTCTATTTCCCAGACTGGGTCAGTCATAAGTCCCCTGGCTATTGTATAGCTTTACAGATATGTCAATTTTTCTTCTTATAGACCAAATAGTAGATGAAAAAATAAAGGATGAGTTAATGGATTTTTCAGTGAAGAAGTTTTATTAACATTAAGATGTAGCTGTTTTTATTTAAATATATTCTCATAGGTGATTGCAGAGATTTCTTCATAAAATCTATTAGATTGGGCACACCTACTTCAAACTAGATTGTCTCCAGTGACTTCACATGCATCTTTTGTACCAGCTGAAGACTGGATATGATAGTAAACTTTAATTTTCCCTCTAGTTTTGACATCACGGGTTGTCATCCCTTGAAAGGCTTTGGCTACATTGGCATAAGTAATTGGCCTAACAGCCATACCAGGAGTTGCTGTATGACTTGGACTTTACTTGCACTTAAACTTTTGTATAACTATACATTAATATTCTTATATTTCTGCTGCTTTGAGGTGATGTGGTACAGTGCTTCTGCTTGGTCTCTCACTGGGCAGCTGAACAGATACAAAATTATAACATTGGAAGTTAAAAACTACATTAATCACCAGTAAATTTAAAAATTCTGCAGTTTAGCTTTTCACATGTGAATTACACAAAGATAAAACTCTGATGGATGAAAACTATTCATACAATGTTTCGAAAATGTGAAAGTCCACACATTGTATAGTATGTGCAGGAAAATTGATTCTGACTTCTATTACTATCCTGGTTTATTGCACTGCTTTACTATCATAGCAGTGGTCAGGCCTGGGTGAGGCACTTCTCAAGAGACATGATGACTCACGTTCTTAGGAGTTTATTGGCTGACTTCAAACAAAACTTAATAAGCAATGCAGCAGGGAAAAGAATGAAGAAAGAATAACATTAGAACATGGAATCCAAGCCAAAGAAACTGAAGGGTTTTTTCACAACTTGAAGAAAATAAGCTTTATTTAGGTATCACAGATGTGTTTTTAAAATGACAGAGGCAACAATTCAGGAAAGGATAATTGATGAAACAGAAAGACAAATGAAAGTCATATTTTAGTTTTGAAGAGAAACAAGGATGAAAAACAAGGAAGGATCAAAAATGTGCCAAAAACAATGACACAGAAAGGCAGCTTTAATAATATGTGTAGTATCTCAAAACGGTCATATTGAAAGGCAAAGGATGATGAACGTGGCAGCTGTCTTTCAGATGGCTCGGAAGTAGAGCGATACAGTTGTAGAAGAGAACCGAGATCACAGACATCATCGAGTTGCTCATTCTCTAAATAAACACTGCGTTATACAAAGCAGAAGTTCCACACAAACACTGCAGTAAGCTTCTTAAGCCTTCCAGCACTGCATTGAGGCAACATGATTAAAAAGCTAAAACATAGGCCATCAGAAAAAACTCTGAATTACACAGTCTGAAGAATTATATTTTTCCATACTGTTACCTTCAGTGCTGTGTAGCAAGCAGTAGTCTGTTATACCCAGCTGAGCTGAAGGTGCTTACATCACCCAGTTGCATGTTTGCAATGTATTTAAACATTGATTCTAAACAAACCTCACCAATCCCTTACCCCTCTATCAGAAATTAAATTAAAAACTCCAGCTTTAATCAAGTTTTACTTACCAGACCAAACCCGAAGTTCATGACGTAATGAAGAATGTAAAGCTTTCGGCGCTGACTAAATCCATGAGGGATTTCTGCCTTGGGATGTTCATAATAGAATGCCATTGCCACAAAGACAGTCAAAACAGCAAGAAAAATCGCTAGGAGGAGTTCCATCTCACTGTACTGTTAGGAGCCAAATGTGGCTTCCAAACCAGCTGTGGCTTCTTTCCCCTTCTGACTTTTGAAGGATTTCTGAAGGTAAAGGCACAGGATTAGCAATTCTCTTCATATCCCATCATCCAGCTTTTAAAAATGTCAGTAGGAAGATGAAAACATGTGGCAATCGAACCATACAATTAAACAGACATTAACAATTAGTCATGGGAGAAGCTTGCATAAGCAGTTTTTCGTATTTGCAGCTAACATGTTTTGGATCTGTGCCCATCACTATATAACCAGTACTTGATATAGCATTTGTAGCGTCAGTGTTATGAGAAGACAAAAACTTGTTATGTCTCTCTGCCTTTCTTGAGTGTAGTCAAGTCTGTATTATTTATGAGTTCCTGCGAGTTCCCATGGAATAGGATTTCTTAGTAATCATCTTCAGAGCTGCTCAGTTTCTTGATTTGTTGTGCCCACATACCCCAGTTCTTCACACTTTTAGTGAAATCAAGGTTTCAGTGTCGCAAACACATTTCATCACCATTGATGACTGATTTTGTACACTGCTATGCTGCTGTGTCTTTGAGTCTAATGGAACCAGAAACAGCTGCAGCCTGAAGTGTCAGTGCTTTGCATCTTGCTTCATCCCCCTAGAGAGCTTTTCTCCAGCAGGTGAAAGCCTGTACCAACTCTTAGGTTAGTTTGTTTTGTGTTTGTTTTTTTCGTGGCCTCTTGGTTGAGCCTTACAGGACTGCAATCTTTGTCTTCTGATTAATATATTACTTACAGGTGTCATTCCAGGTAGAAATACAATTCCAGCTCATGAAATCTAGATTTAGACTTCATAGTTTCAGTGCTAGTAGCAGTGACTAGACATCAGCAGCCCGCTCGTTTGTCTGTACTGTGTGGTGAGCTTTAGGATCTGTGCCTTCCTCTGAACTAAGATATTTTTCAGTATAAAAATCATTAGTGATAAGATTTAACCTGAAATAAAAAATCTGTAAAGCAAAGCTTTTTTTGACTCATATAATGTCACCTTTGGGAACAGTGTCTTTTTACCAGTCTGCTCAAACTGTGAAGGCAACAGATTTTCACTCTGAAAAATAGCAGTATGGGTAAAGTGAGTGTGTAAAATTTTTCCTTAAAAAAAAAAAAGAAGAGTGCAAGGGATAAGCTGACCTTGAGATGTATAATAAAATGAAACTTAAATGCAGAGCACCCCAGAGCTTTAGAATGCACAATCCATGACCTGCATAGGAAAGAAGACAGACTTGATTCCTGACTTTAGAAACCATTTGTTAATTGTTCAGAATAAACAGGAAGGAACTTAATTTCAGAACCTGGTGATACGCTCTCTAAGAAGAAGCTGATTCTGTGTTCTGCTCCCTCTGCTCAAACTGTTTCTTCATTTTATCTAACCACTTCTTACAGACTTCCATTTCTCAATGTCCCTGTTCCGTCTCCCTCCCTTGCCAGAAGGTTGTTTGTGTGCTAAGTATAAAATCAGGTTCCTTTTTGTTTGTTCTTCCTTGTGGCAGTTGATACAATCGCCCAGATCGATAAGGGATGTTGGTGAAAGGCACATTGCCTGGTGATTGGGACACTCTCTTGGGAAATGGAAGTGTTGAATTCAAACCGGTCAGGACCAAGGTGTGTACAGGGTTCAGCTTTCTTATAGTTCAGACACGATTATTAGAAAATCCTGTTACACAAAACATGGTTGCAGCTCGATTCTTTAACTTCTAATAGTGAAAGTAATCAGCTTTGTGCTAAACTGTACTGTCCCAATGAGTTAGGTGTGGTCTAAATATGCTTATCAGATTTGGCCCCTCTGGGGATCTAAGAAGCCTTCTGATACTTGTGACAGATCCTTTGTACTAAGGTTCTTACCAGTTTGCTCACCTGTTTTCTAAATCTTTTCAGTGCCAGTCCTTACGGTAGCCAGTTTACCAAAAGCTGGTAGGTTCTGGACTCTTTTGGGCATGTTAACTAGGTCTGGACATCACAGTACCCCCACCAACCCCAGAGGCTCCACACAAAGAAAGGGTGTGCAGGAATCTGTTACCAGCTTTAGAAGAAACAAACTAGTTGGTTCCTGAAGTGATAAACTGTTTTTTTACTTTGGGCGTTGCAGGTACACAGAGTAATACATAATGTTTTATAAGCATAGGCTCAGCAATTTTCAAGCTTGCTTGAGTCCCAGGATGGAGAAACATTCCTTAAACAATCTGGCAAATGTATGGTCTCTCCAGCTTCTGATTTTTTAACCTTACCTCTTGCTCCTGTAGGATAGACTGGAGGAATTGGCCCCTGAGGCCAAAGTCTCATATTCTCCTAGCCCAGGAACTCCTTTTTGTATTAATTTCCAGTGCAGAGTTAAATGTCAGTGCCTGAACTCTTGTCAATACTGGGCTGGCATCCTTAAGCTGTTTCTCTGTTGTGTAGCAGCACACTCATGGAGAGACAGAGACTTGAGCCAGTTGCAACGTAGACTTCAGGCCGTCCCAAGAACTCTCTGCCTGGCTCTGAGTCATGGTGCTGATTAGGTGGGAAATGGGTACTCACCTGCTTAGACTCAGACACACCAGGTATGAGTGGATGCCTGTACTGGGATACTGGGAAACGATGCTGCTTGATGCAAGAAGCTGCTTTTGGGTTCCATGGAGCATGGGAGCCATCTGGTGCTTGAGATCTGAGCTTGGAAACAGCCGAGCTGGCTCCTCACCAGGGAACTCTGCCTGCCCTTGGCTGTAAGCGAGTATGCAGAGAGCCCTGATGGCATCTGTTAATGGCTTGGTTTGTGCCATCACTCATGTGTGCACATTTGTATCTATGTGTATTTCTCTGTATGCATAATTCCTTGTGGAAAGACACAGGTGTGCATAATTCTGTAGGTGCACGGCAAGTTTGTCATTCATTGTGCTTTAAATACTTGAAAACTAATTCCACACTTTGGAAACTATAAAATGTCATCAAATGAGCAAACATTCTACTTTAGCAAGGCAAGACACATAGCAGATCTGTAATTAATTAAAATAAATTAGAGGACAGGAAGTTCCATGGAGACAATTAGAACTTGCGACTTTATAAATTTTAGAGAATTAGGGAATCACTACTAAAAAAGGAATACATTTTTTCAGCACTTGCTGTTCTCTGCTTATCCATCTGCACTACCATGGTTATAACCCTCAATACAGCATAAAATGCACTTGTTCAAGAGAGTTCATAATTCTGCTCACATATTATAAAGATAAGATTATTTATATTTGTAGTAAATTAAGACCTACAGATAAAGAACCATTGAAAAATCTCAGGAATAAATCATTGTAGAGTTTGGACATTGGCCCATAAATGAGGCATAAGTCCAGTGACTGAATTATGAAAAGAAAACAAGTATTGGATTGCTGAACTGACAAGGAGTATAATACATGCTGCACTGAGTGAAACGTGTGTAAAATAGTATGAGATCATATGTGATCATCTCAACTTAAAACATACAAAATAGAACTGTATGGACATTCTTAGTTCTGGCACTTCAAACCATCTCTGTACCAGCAAAGAATCATCAAAAGAACAAGCCTAGTATATCAGATGCAAAGAGTGATATGTGAATAAAAATAATCTTAAATAAAGATAAGCCTGATGACTCTCACAGGTTTGACTGAAGTCATCAAGTCATACCCAAACTAACTTTAAACCAGCTTGCTCATGTGCAGATAACAGTACAGCTGTGGCAGAACAGACATGGATTAACTGCTCAAATATTATCCAGTTTTTTGCATAGCCTTTACAGCAGATACCAACTCTGCTGGCCTAGCTTCAGCTACCAGCATGTAAGGCAGTAAGCCAACCTTCGTCTTGAGATCGGAAACCAAAATGAATCCCCAATTTCACATCAGGTTGCATAGCTATGGCAAATACTGTAACCCTCAAACAGTAAAACATTTTGAACTTTATTTACTCCTGGAAGAATTTCTTTGCTTGGAAGAGTAAATTGCTACTACCTGCAATAGAAAACATGAAACCAAGTATGTGTTTTGTCAACAGAGCATGAAGAAACATAGTCTCATTTTGCTGAGAGGGACTGGAGAACAAGGATTCACAAGTAACAACTTGTTGCTCCAGAGATTTGTAACTGCTAACTTGTCGCCATATTTAATTAATATTGCGACAACGTGAAGAATATAACCCACCATTTTCTTCCTACTCACCGTTTGGCAGACAGAGGATGAAGATGGGTACTAACCTCTTTCCACACTTGTGCATGCATAGGTATTACAAGTGCAAGGTGGTTGCATAACAATGATGAAATATTTTACAATTTCTAGCCATTGCGTGGCCAACTATTTTGACATGCAATGGCAATTAACTTGGCATCTGTGGTTAGCAAAGGTGGATCTGTCCTAATGAGTGATGTAAAGTTGAGCTGAGATTTATTTTTTTTTCCTTTGTGCCTTGGATATTTGCAGAAATTATTTTGGCGACTTCCATGCTGTTTACATACTTTCCCCCAATCTCCAAGTAAACAAGTTGATTATTTATCTGGTTACAAAAAAAGGCAAAACCCACTGTATCTCTGTCTTCCCTGAATACAACCAAATGCTTCTCAGAAAGGAACTTTATGGAATATAGTTTAAAGGACATTGTTATGTTTGTGCAGTTCTTCCTTACTGCATCTGTGTTGCCAGTTTTGGATACTTACCAGTAGCCACCTCATACAGCTCTTGTTTCTGTACCTCCCTTCTGTGTCAGCCATTTCCCTTTGAAATCAGATTTGTACGTACACCCAATTCCCTCCTTCAGATCCTACAACTAAGTCCAAAGTTACGGGTTGCCTATACGCATAGTCTGATGATGATCACTATTCATCTCAGAAGTACTGAAAGTATCTTAGCTCTCCAGAGGCGTTGGACGGGCATTTTATCTGTGCTGTCATGCTGATTTTGTATATATTATGTGGATTTATGTATGCACACTGCTGATTACTCATATATTGCATGCTTTGAAATGTTTTTTGCTATGGTGGATTTTTATTCTTTGATATAAGAAGAGAACAAAAATTCTTGCAATGTAAGAAGAGAACAGGAAAACAAGCATACTAATTAAAGGGTTTA